TGGCGAATGTTCTAGTTCTTACTAGATGAACGGATGAACGGATGAACCCCACATGAAGCAGAAGCCAACAAGAGGAGACCAGTACGGAAGAAGATACGTCCCGTAAAATTAAGAGACTTTGTTGAATTGTAATTTTGTGTTTGTAATTCTGTACATTTTAATTAAGTTATTGTTATTGGTTTATTGTATGTGGTTATTGTTCGGGACGAACAATACTAAGGAGGGGGCAGTGTTGCGTCATCGAGGTCACGTGACTGGTGTGGCGCTTTCTAGTTTCTAGAACTATCTTGTTCTTTCATGAATGCTCTAGTACTTACTAGATAGGGTAGGCTGGTATATATAAGAGGGTGACGGAAGGTAATGTGTGTGTGAAGATAGTGAGTAATTGAACTGCAGTCAGAGAGCACGAGAGACGTTACAGCGTTTGTTTAGCGCGATTGTTGAAGTTGAGTGTATCGGTAAAGTTATATTCGGAAAGAATAAACCAGTTTTATTAAGAAAGGACTTGTGTCGCTCAAGTTTCGTCGGAACGAAGTTACGGAAAATCAATTAACAAACGGAGACGTGACACCCCCGATGAAGGCTCCGGCAAGAGGTCCAAAAGCTTGCAAATAAAAGTATTTTAACCTAAAGAAAAGTCCGTGTATAATTCTACAAATTATAATATTCGTTAAATGCACTGATGTAAGATCAATTCATTGCAAATTTATCCTGAAAGCTTTCTCGTTTGAAGATGCGGTTTAAAAAAAACAAACAATGTATAAACTTACTAAAAGCGTCAAACTACAGCTATTATAAATATCTTTCTAGCCTACATATATATATTTGTTTTAATAGAAATCGAAAATTTTTCGAGTACTTAGACCTTTTCTTGAAATGTTCAAGAAGCAAATAACTTAGGATTCTTTATTCCAAACCATTCCTTGTGCGTGTATTTTGCTTTGTATCGTTATATGTAAGTCTATATTTACCATAACACTTTTGTACTGTAACTAATGAAAGCGTTTAATACTTTGAAAAACAACAACAACAAAGAGCATTCATATCTTAGCATTTAAAACGCCCCCGCCCCCAGTGGCTCAACAGTAAGTAAGTGGGCTTATAACACTAAAAATCGGGTTTTGATACCTGTGGTGGGCACAGCACAAATATCTCAGTATGTAGCTTTGTGCGTAATAACTAACAAAGGCATAAAACGATACTGTATTTGATTAACAAGTATGGTGTTCATATGGTGCAAAAGATGTGCTCCGTACTATTGAGCCGTGAACGCGCTGTAAGAATGGTATTTTTAATCACATTCGGTCAGATAAGAGTAGCCCAAGCGTTGGCGGTGGCTGTTATTGGCTTGCTACTTTCCCCTTAATTCGAAATTAAGGACAATTGTACATAGATAGCCCTTTGTGAAGACGTACACGAAAACCTCTTCTTGCATTACATCCTGATGGTATGTATGATACGTATGTTTCATGGCAAAACCACATCGGGCTGTCTGCTGTGTCCACCGAGGGGAATCGAACCTTTATTGTAGCATTGTGAATCCGTAGACTTACCGCTGTCCTACCGGGAGACATTACATCCTGAAGCCTCTAGGTGAATGACAGAAACTTAATATGGTTTGTCATTGTATATAATGTGTACTGATCAAAGCGAGTTCGTATTTTGCTCGTTAAAAACAAAAAACTCTAACCATTACTCGTAATGTTCAAAAAGCCGAATTTTCAATACTATAATCAGTAAATGCTTAAACAACTGAAAGTACTTAAGTTATACATGATTTTAAAATTGTCTATGGAGGCAGTAAATTTAAGTGAGTTTAAGAAAAAGCTGGATAAGGGTGTGAATCATAAGGGCTGGCTTTAAGTTTTATTTATTTTAATTTAGTTTAGAGGATGTAACAGCCGAGATGGACCAATAGGTCCCATGTTGTCCCAAAACGTTATGATATGTTATAAAAGGAATATCACTTATTATCATATCTGCACAGAAGAAATTATCTTACGTCATATCGTGCCTGTGTCAACTGATTATACATGAAAACTAAAATTATTTAAAAGCCCGAATTATGAAATATGAATGAGATATAAATCAGTGTTGATGGTCTAAATCAGTTCAAAAGAGAGAGAAAATACATATATAAAAGCGTTTAGTGCGCGCCATACTACACATCAAATATGTATTCCCCAAACCAGATTGTTTTCCTAGTGCAGGCTAGTAAATGGTAACATGCAAGATACTTATTAGGCCCAAATCCTTGATAGTATTGCAATAACATGCAAGATACTTATTAGGCCCAAATCCTTGATAGTATTGCAGTAACATGCAAGATACTTATGAGGCCCAAATCCTTGGTAGTATTGCAGTAACATGCAAGATACTTATTAGGCCCAAATCCTTGATAGTATTGCAATTTGTGGCTTATTCGTTATTACCGGTAGCGTGGCCATGTTGTAGTTAAGAGTAATACTAGCAGTAATAATGCAACATATTCACACAATGAGACTTGTGTGTTCCTGATTACTGCACCTGTTCAATAAAAATAACATTTCGGAAATATTTTTGCTGATAAAAAAAATAAACAGGCAAGAATATTCCAGTGTTACTAGAGCCCACCTCGTGCCAATTTTAATTCTCCATAAACCGTACATAGCAGCCCCCTATAAGATATGTAATATCATCACATCTATATTTATCTACCGTACGTGTGAGGTTTCAAAATGCATTACCTCGCTATCCCTCGAGTGTATCCATAGTCTGTATCCAGACAAGAGGTTAGGCTCGTTGTTGACGTCAATAAGAGCCATTTCTGCCGCCGGTTGGCAACCTTGTCCACCCAACCATCCGCCGGTGCCATTGATCGGATAGACGACGGCAATGTCTAAGTCCTTCGTCTCTTCCTTTATTTTGCGCTTATCGTTCCTCAACGTGCTTAAACCCTCGTTAAAGTCGACATTGAAGAATATCACAACCAATAAAATAAAATGGCGCATGATCCTCCAGTGGTTCGTTTACCACACAAAAATAAGATCATTAAAAATTGCAATGTATCATCAGTTTCTATTTATGTAACAGATGTCGTTTGACCACCACTACCACTCTAGGTTTTTCAACGGTCGAGCTCACATAGTCAAGAATTACAGACCAGTGCGCAGCCAGTTATCGATCGAACTAGCTTACGTCAGTATTCTATATTAGTATATAGATGTAAGAATACAGTTATACAGGGTTAAGCGTAGTTCCTTCTGGTCATTTACTTTAGTATAGTGCGCGGTAATTTATATATATATATATATATATACTACGTTTTCAACAACAACTTATTTTCTATACGTCTTTCAAAAACTGTCGTATATTATATTAATGACATGAGTTAAAGGTTCACACGATATACAAGAGTTTCGATTTTCAATGAAGTGATCAAAATATCTCGTGTAAGTCTTATATAACGTTTACCATTAAGGATTAGGCCGTTTTGCTTTTTCAAAAACCAGCATTATATGATCTTTGTAAGGATTCCCAGTTCATGCACATCCCGTTACCGCAAAAACGAGCTCCGCACTTTGGGGTCGTAGATGGGCTATAAGAATGATGGTCAAATCTCACTCTTTGATCAGCCAAGTGTATTTCAAGAGATGTCGGTAGGTGTTGTTGACTACCTGCCTTTTTACTAATCTCTCAGTTCAAAAGTGGAGACGTCTATATGTAGCTAGCCCTTTCGTAGCTTTGCGCGGAAATTCTAAATACAGTAACAACTTATCACTGCTATGCAAGGTCTACCCCAGCTATCTGAAAATCTATCGTTTTCTTACCATTATATTTTAAAAGAGTTCAGGTTATATGCTTTACAGTCAGAAAGTTGTTTTATAATAAATATAATATTAGGTTCAATAACTTATAAACGAAACACCATTACTTTTTCTGTTTCAAGGTTTTTGATACTCAACATACATTCAATTAAGTTTACTAGTACGAACAGTTCTTCTTTTCTATTTAATCATAAGTTTTTTTTGGAAATACGATTAACCAAGCTCGAATTTGCCACCATTATTTTGAGTTCTTACATGACTGAAATCGTTATCACTCCTAGCAAAACGTGACACAACACACAAAAACTGAATTATATTTATTAAATCATGATTGTAGCTGCTATTTCCTTTGATTCATTTTACAAAAACTTTGCCTTTTCTGTAACTTCCGGCCCCAACCACCAAGTGGTTAAATATAATATTTACTTTTGTTTAAACAAAAACTCTAATCAAAGGAGAATTAAAATTGGCATTCATTATTTGTTTGTCTTTTCTGTTTCACAATTTTTTTTTGCTGACCGTATACTAAAAAATTTAGAGGAAATCTTTAAAACAGGTTAATCATCGTAAGTTACAGAAAATACCTATAAAGGCATTTTTGGGGTACATCATATTCTGTGTAAATCTTATCTATGTCCAGTGTCGTAGCCAGGCGCAATGACAAACTCAGAGGGCGCCAGTACATTGTAATCATTTTCAGTTTTTGTTATCATTTATTGCTGTTCCTTGTTAATTCATAAGCGAATTCACTCCTGAAAAATTCGTTGATATCCGACAACAATTCAGTTATAATTCTTATTTTATTAATACACGAACGATTAACATTGCATCGATCAATAACAATTTATTTGAAATGTGACGAATCTGAATAATCCACGTCAGCGGTATGCAACCGTCGATACGATAAAAAACACAAAAGCCGAAAGCATAAGTACAAATATATTTTATTTTATAAATATTGATTTACAGCAACTATTACTTCGGTTACCTAATATTTTTATACATGAGTACATGGAAGTATTCAAGTTCGAAAAAATTATTTAAGTTCGAAAAGAGTAAAAAGAGGCATTATTTTATTTTTTTAAAGCAGATTTTTAGAGGGCGCATTTTTTGTTATGAGAGAGCGCATTGCGCCCTTTCGCGCCCCCGTGGCACGGGCACTGTCCATATCACTTCTCTCCTAAGCTTTCCGTCGATATCTTACAAACATAATTACTCCACCTCCTGTTTTATTAACATGGTCTCAGCGGAAGATCTTAAAACCTTCCAATAAAGATCTAAGTAATTTTTACCCAAGAATCAGAAATATCAATGACATCGAACATGCCTGTGACACCAAAAACCTTTTTCTTGAGCATCTTGTTGCAAAAACGTTTAGTATTAGCTAAGCTTATTTTCACTGAACTTCATATAAGCTTAGCTAATTAATCTATATTCTTCATGTCTTGTATAATTTTTGACATAATTATCTATTTAGTTTAAATAGCTTTGGTATTCCAAATTATATTTGGTAAACAGGTGTTACGTCTGTGTTCGTTTATTAATTTTCCGTAGAAATTCTTTCCAAGAAACTTCTGCGATACAAGTCCTTTCTTAAATAAAACTAGTTTGTTCTTTCTCAATTCAACTTTGCAATACACTTAATTTCCACAGTCACTTTAACTTAACACACGCTATAATTCACAACGATTCACGCACTTTACTTACGGTGCCTACCGCCCACTTGACTCGATTATTCATGTCTACATCTTCAATCTCTCTATCTGCAACTATTATTGCTGTCACTTTATTTGCCGGCTTATGTACTATAAAAGCGCACATCTAGATTGCACTCGCCTCTTCGTCAATATTCTAGATACTCATCACGTGTTACCAGCCTCACGTGACTTCCGGTGTCGTAACACTGCCCCTTCCTTAGTATTGTTCGTCCCGAACAATAGCCAATTAAATTAAACCAATAGATAATTAACAATAATTTAATTAACTGTACAGAATTTACAAACACTACAAACACGAAATTAAAATTCAACAAAGTCTCTTAATTTTACGGGACGTATCTTCTTCTGTACTGGTCTCCATCTCGTTTGCTTCTGTTTCACGTGAGGTTCATCTGCTCCATCGGGAATAGTCCTATTATCGGTAATAGTCACATCAGTGGTAGTAGCTTCATTAAGGGCTTCACTGTTTCCCTTCTCAAAACTGGGTAGAATTTTTTCTTAGACAGTGGCTTTTTCAGGTGACACGTCTTCCGCAGCGTCGTCTGTTTCGTTGTTCACTTCGTTCCAACTGAAATGTCCTGGACCGTGATAACACCAAAGTCTGTTGGCATGCATCACTATTGGCTAGCCTCGCCAACCACATTTTATTCGGAAAGTCACGTCTGAGAGACGATCCACTATGTCATATGGGCCTTCGCATGGAGAACACAACTTAGGAGACTTCCCTTTGGTCTTCCTGGGATTATACAACCACGCCTTGTCTCCTGGTTCAAAGCTGACTTCATTAGATCTCTTATCATAAGATAGCTTCATCGAATCAGCAGAAGTTTTCAAGTTTGAACGCACTTGATGGTGAATATTATCCATCATTTCCGATAACACTTTCACGAATTCTGACACATTTTTCGGCAACTCTTCATAAGGTGGGCGTCCCGTTAACAGATCCACTGGCAACCGAAGTTCCCGACCAAACATCAACTTTGCTGGTGTGTATGCAATGGATTCATGCTCTGCTGTTCTATGGGCCATCAACAGTGGAGGGAGTAAGACATCCCAGTCATCTTGGCGGGTATTACAAAACTTTGCCAATTCCTGTCAAAATGTACA